TCTTCCAATTGCTGGAAGGGGTACCGTAAAAACCTCACTGTTTCGCTCTCTGCCTGGAAGGAGGTTTCCATGTCTCCTTCCCCCAAACGGAGACTTCCGGGCGTCCCCGGAACTCCACCACCACTGGAGCGTCCTCCAGGGTTGTGGCCTGTGGTCTCAGAACACGTCTGTTCACCACAGTCAGGAGGTCCTTACGGACCCAATCTGACAGCCACTGCGAGAGTCCCCTGACTGGTCGGCACACCAACTTAGCGATCGCCGGGTATAGGCGCCTTACTTACCACGGAAGGTCTGTCAGGGAGGTCCTGATCAGGTGGGCAGGGGTCCCTTTGCTCCCAATCCCGGGCGAGCCCCCAGATGTTAGGGTCCGAGCTCAGGACAGCCTCACCTGTCAAGGAAAACTCTGAGAGACCAAGTCCATGCAAAAGCAAGAGGTTTATTCGAGCATGCTCGGGCTCACAGCATGACCACAAACCATCAGTGACTGAGAGCCCCGAGACTCTTCAAAGGGGGCTTTTTATAGGGCATCTTCCCGCACATTTCAGAAAGCCCGCGCACAAATCACCCAATACATTTGAATTATCACATTAGATGCTGCACGCAGGAAGCCAATCATTTTGCAACAAGCCATCAGCACCAGCCACTCTCTTCTGTACTTGTCACCAGGCCCTCCCACCGGGCAGTCAATTAGGCCTTTTCATTAGGCCTTCTCAGACCTTGTAGCCTTATCTGGTGAATTCCAGGTGCAAGGAGGAGATGGGGGTACTTGGTGTTGGGCCTTGTTAGGCGGATTCCAGGACAAGGAGATACCTCATTAGGCCTTCTCCGGCCTTGTGGCCTTATCTGGCGAATTCCAGGTGCAGGGAGGAGATGGGGGTACTTGGTGTTGCTAGCCTGCAGCAGCTGCAGGACGGGATATGGGCTGGGACTTGCTTTGCTAGGGCCCAATTGTCATGGGGCTCTCTTTCAGTATCACCCTGCCAAATCCCTCTCTTGACATCGATGATCACTTCTTCGTAGAATGGTGAGATCCTGGTAGTGAATCCGTAATATAGCTCATGGATTGAGTTTGAACACCCTGTTTGGCTAGGGCTTTGATGACCGCTTCAGTCTCAACAGAATCAAGGGCCTTCTTTAAATCAATGAACATTAGACAGAGCAGCATCTTGAATTCCTGAGAAACCTCAATGAGCTTGGTTATCCTGTGGACATGCTGATCGTGTCTCACTAGAACCATGCAAACACAGCATCTATTTGAGATTACAGGAATCAAGGCCCTTTAACATGACAGAAAATTTGTTCACTGAGAGGTGTTCCTTTCTGAAATGACACCCAGAGGACAGAGGATGCTGGGAGTAACTGCTGTCTAGAAGGTGCTGATGGCCAGTATGACTGCAAATGTCAGAGGATAGAGAAACCCAGTGTCACCTGAGTTGATCTGGAGGAGGTGTGGAGAAGGCTAGGGAGCTTGGTGGAACCAAGAAAAAGGTGTCTTCTTACAATGTCAATCTAGTGCCCTCTACTGTCAAGCTGAATATCCCACTGGTAGGATACAGCAAAACAAAATCTCTACCTAAATATATATATAATATTACACATATATATTATATGTTATATGTAAGACCCAGCTGGATTTTCGTAGAGCAGCCAAAAAGGATTAAGATAAAGCTGAGGCTTCAGTGGCAATGTCCAAGAATGCATAGGGGTTATTGTAGTCAGACAATGAACATTCTATTTGCACCATGTCAATGATTTTAGTTCACTATAAAGGCAAAGTTTTTCCCCCTTCTAATTTATGAATTCCAGAGCTTGCCAGAAACCACCACTGTCTACTTTTAACATATGGCTAAATACTAAAGTGCATCAGTCTGAGTGGGCATGAGTAGGTTTGGTGGCATTGTAGCTGAACAGACCATTTAGGTTTGAATGTGTTTCTGTCACTGACTGGCTGCACTGTTTGAGGCCAGAATGTTTCTGTACTTCACTTTCCATGTCCAAATAAAGGAAAGGACAGCATCTAACTCATAATTTTACTATGAAAATCAAACAGGCTAATATGGCTCTCCCTTAACAGCAGAATTACCCCTTTCTGAACATCAGATTTTTTGCCAGAAAATCTAGAACCTATTTAATGTCATTTCCAGAAAAAGAAAACTTAAATTTCATAACAAATTAACTGACCTTACTTCCCCAAGAAATTTCTTAAATTTCATTTCAAAATATAAATTCCGGGCTGGAGCCATAGCACAGCGGGTAGGGCATTTGCCTTGCAAGTGGCCAACATGGGTGACCCGAATTTGATTTCTCTGCCCCTCTCAGAAAGCCCGGAAAGCTACCGAGAATATCTCGTCCGCAAGGCAAAGCCTGGCAAGCTCCCTGTGACGTATCTGATATGCCAAACACAGTAAAAAGTCTCACAATGGAGACATTACTGGGCCCGCTAGAGCAAATCGATGTACAATTGGAGGACAGTGACAGCAACATATATACATAAATTTTCATAGTAAGATGCAAGATGCCAAAACTATTCGTGGTCACAGTATACTGTTTACCAAGAGTGTGTCATATGCATGACAGGTATTTTTCCATTGAAATTAGATTTCTTTCTCATCCTGCCTCCATGTCTACTGTTCTCTTCAATGCTTTCAACTTTGTTTAGAACTCATTGCATAATGCAAGGCAAAAGCAGAGTCTAAATATAAAAGTCAAAGGAACTCAACTTCAAGACCATGGATTGACCTGGGTTCTGAAAACTTTGGGGTGCACTTCTCTGGGTGACAAGACTCTTCCCTTTTAAAATGTTTATGCTGGAATCCTATATTTTGGCAAATGTATTTGGGATATACATTATCCTCCAAACTCTTTTGTGTTAAACTGTGTTGAGTTTGGAGGACGTAAATACCAGACCCTTTCCCTCTTATCAACTGCAATGTAATGAATATTTTTGAAATTTTGAATATTAAAATCCAGTAATCTTTTTGAAAACAATATGGACATTCCTTAAAAAAATAGAAATTGAGCTTTAATATGACACGGCAATACCACTTCTGGGAATATATCCCAAGGGTGCAAAAAAGCACAGTGGAAGTGACATCTGACCTATATATTCATTGCAGCACTGTCCACAATAGCCAGAATCTGGAAAAAACTTGAGTGCTTGAGAACAGTCGACTGGTTAAAGAGACTTTGGTACTATGGAATACTATGCAGTTGTTAGGAAATATGAAGTCATGAAATTTTCTTATAAATGGACGGTTATGGAGAATATCATGCTAAGCGAAATGAGTAAAAAAGAGAGGAACAGACATAGAATGACTGCACTGATTTGTTGAATATAAAATATCATAATATAAGACTAACACCTAGGTTGGAGTGATAGCACAGCGGGTAGGGCGTTTGCCTTACACTCAGCTAACATGGTCGACCTGAGTTCGATTCCTTCGCCCCTCTCGGAGAGCCCAGCAAGCTACCAAGAGTATCTCGCCCGCACGGCAAAACCGGGCAAGCTACCCGTGACGTATTCGATATGCCAAACACAGTATAACAACAAAGTCTCACAATGGAGATGTTACTGGGCTCGCTCAAGAAAATTGATGAACAACAGGAGGACAGTGACAGTGAAGACTAACACCCAAGGACAGTAGAGACAGGGTCAGGGAGATTGCTCCATGGTTGGAATCCTGCCTCATGAGCTGGGGGAGAAGGCAGCTGGGATAGAGAAGGGATCACTAAGTCAATGATGGTCTGAGGGATTGTTTGGGATGGGAGATGTGTGCTGAAAGTCGATAAAGGACCGAATGTGATAGCCTCTCAATATCTGCACTGCAAACCATAATGCCCCAAAATAGAGAAAGAGAGAGAGAGAGAGAGAGAGAGAGAGAGAGAGAGAGAGAGAGAGAGAGAATGGGGAAAACTGTCTGCCATAGAGGCAGGGGGAGGGAGTGGAATGGGTCAGAGATACTAGGGACATTGGTAGTGGAAGATGTTCATTGGTGGATGGATGGGTGTTCCATCATTGTATGCCTGAAACTCAAAAATGAAAACTTTGTAACTTTCTCATGGTGATTCAATTAAAAAATTGATTAAATTGAAAACAAACCAAAAAACCTTCAGTAAGCCCTAAGTGGAGCAAAGAAAAGGGAACACAAGCCATTAGAATATGCTTGGCTTATAGAAAAAGAGGTTAGGGTTTCATATATCAACTTGGGACTCATGAGCCATTACAGTCTTCCTCCTCGACCTCCTCCTCCCCACTGTCCAGAAGGATAGACTGGTGGGACCTGCACTCCCTGCTTCCAAGGAGCAATGCTCTGTCTAAAATGGGCACAAATGTAGGTAGCTGATTCTAGCTAGATAGCGCAGAGCTGCAAAGCTGGGGTGAGAGCTCAGCAAGAAGCTGGCCTCAGGCCATGGAGAGGGTGAGGGTAGGGTGGGGCTTAGAGCTCGGGATGCAGAGATCTCGGTGGGCCTGTCCTGGCATCCCCAGAACCCAGGTTAATTTGCACTAGCTTCTCTCATAGGCACCTATGAGGATGTTCTGCAATCAAAACCCACGGGCAGCATTGATCCAAAGCCGGCAACCTGCTTAGGTCCCTTGCTGTGCAGTTATGGGCAACTTTGGCAGGGATGCCGGGGGTCGAATATAATCATCGAATATGGTCATCTAAGGATCATCTTCTGCTGAGCGACCCAAAATGCTCTTGGTGTCTTTAAAAGGCAGGTGGGGGCATTTGTGGGCCCCCCCCCTACTGCACCCGGGCCAATGGAAGCTAGGCCCAGCGGCTAGCGGAGAAGGCAGAGGGCTGACCGGGGTACGGGTGCGCGTGGGGTGGCGGGGTATCCCGGGGAAGGGCTTCCCCGAGACACACGCCGGTCTGACCTCGCCGGCCCCGGAAGTCGCGAGGAGGCCCCGCCCAGGAACTTCGTGTCGGCGGAACCAGCGGCCCCAGCGCCTTGCTCGGCACCCGGCCCCGCTTTGCAGAGCACTTCCGGCGGGCCAACATGGCGGCAGCCGCGCGGGACTCACGTGGGAGCGCCGGGAAAAAGCTGAAAAGTTCGCTGCAGAAGAAGAAGAAGATGAAAGCGGTGGCCAGGGCTGTGGCGGCGCAGCTGGAAGGTGAGGACGAGGACGCTCCCGACAGTGGAGGGAACGGCCGGCACGGCGCGCCTAGCGCGGGGAGCAAGGGGGAGCTCACCCACCGTTGGGGTTCCCCCTTTTCCCGGGGGCGGCCAAGGGCCGGGGAGCAGGGTCCGGCGAGGCGTCGGGGGCGCAGCTGGTGCTCGGGAAGGAGCGCTGTCACCTGCACGGCCGCCGCGGGCGCTCGTGCTCGCGGGCGGGCTGCTGGGCGCCGCGCGGGGCGCGGCGGATCGTAGCCGAAGCTGAAGCAGCAGTAGGGGTGGGGTGGGGGGAGGCGGGAGTGTCGGCAGGGAGATGAATTCACGGGGAGTGGAGCGAAGGGCCAGGCGCGTGAAGACGGCCGAGGGGTGTTGTGCGTGCGTGCAGGTGACACTTAGAGACCCGCTGGTGACCGTCGGAGCGACTCGGAGGGGATTGGACTCGGTAGAGGGAGATGCGGCGCTCACCGAGGCTGACAGAGGACAGGAGAGGTGTTCCCTGCTGCAAATAGGACCCTTAGTTTTCGAGTGAGACCCATCACTCATGCTGCCCCTCTGCATTGTCGTCGTTGCACAAGCTTCTCTCTTGGGCACTGCAGCGGACACACAGCCCCACCTGCCCTATTGTGAATCCTTTCTACTACCTGAAACCCACCTAAGAGCCATTCATTAGTTCGTTTTGGCTTAGGGCCACACCAGCGGTGCTCAGGGCTGACTCTTGTCTCTGCGGTCGGGGATCACACCTGGCAAGGGCCCTGGAACCGTTACGTAGTGCCGGGGATTAAAAACCCAATTGGCCATGCATGCAAGACAAGGGCCCTACCTCTATACTATCTCTCAGGCTTCCCATTCATTCACTTAAAATAGGTCGTGGGTAGAGAGATGGTGCAGCAGGTAAGACCCTTGACTTGGATGCAGCCCTTTAGGTTTGATCCCCCAGGAGCCCCAAGTGCAGTCATATATAAGGCACGAGAACTGCCAGATGTGCCTTAAAACCCAAAACTACAACCTAGAACTGTGGTTCTGATTTTCTTCAACCCAGTACTTTAGTTTCATGGTTTCCAAACTCATTCGGCTTTCCACCCCTTTTTCAGAAAACATATCACTCATAAAAATATTTGGGGCTGGAGTGATACTACAGTGGGAAGGACATTTGCCTTGCACGCAGCAGAGTCAGGTTCAATTTCCAGCATCCCGTAGGGTTCCTGAAGCACCATCAGGAGTGATTGCTGAGTGCAGAGTAAGGAGCATCACTGGGTGTCACCCAACCCCCCCCAATTTGTTTTTAAAAATTTTTTATATTTTAATGAATCACCTCGAGGTATAGTTACAGACTTACAGACTTTAGTGCTGACGTTTCAGTCATACAATGATGGAGTACCCATTTCTCCACCAGTGCTCATTCTCCACCACCAATGTTCCCAGTATCCCTCCCATTCTCCCACCATTTTCCCATCTCTCCCCACCCCCCTCTGTGGCAGGCACATTCCTTTTTTTTTATTTTTTTAAATTTTTAAAAAATTTTTTTTTTATTTTAGTGAAACACCATGAGGTACAGTTGTAGATTTACAATTTTTTGTGCTTGGGTTTCGATTATACAATGATCAAATACCCATCCCTCCACCGGTGCCCATTTTCCACCACCTGGATAATATCCCTCCCATCCCCATCCCTCCCATTTCACCCTGCCTCTGAGGCACATTCCTTTTTACTCTCTCTCTCCTTTGGGGTGTTGTGGTCTGCAATGCAAGTATTGAATGGCCATCATGTTTGGTCTATAGTCTACTTTCAGCACGCCTCTCCCATCCCGAGTGGGCCCTCCAAACACCCTTTACTTGGTGTTCCCTTCTCTGTCTGCGCTGCCTTTTCCCCCAGCATGTGAGGCCGGCTTCCAAGCCATGGAGCAAACCTCCTGGTACTTATCTCTACTATTCTTGGGTGTTAGTCTCTCATTCTTCATTCTGTTACTTTATATTCCCCAAATGTCCCTCTCCTTCTGACTCATTTCACTTAACATAATACTTTACATGTTGATCCACTTATATGCAAATTTCAGACTTCATCTTTTTTAACAGCTGCATCATATTCCACTGTGTAGATGCACCAAAGTTTCTTAAACGAGTCATCTGTTCTCTGGCACTTGGCTTTTTTCCAGATTCTGGCTATTGTAAACAGTGCAGCAATTAACATACAAGTGCAGATGTCAAAAAAAAAATTTTTTTTTAAAGAAAAACATAGGTCCCTTCCCACATGCAGCTTCTCCCATGCAGTTATACCACCAGTCTGAAATGATTTGGGGATTGCAAAGTCCTTGGAGTATGCCACAGGGCATCTGCTCCTAAGTATTAACAGTAATGGTTATGGCCCCTTTCTGTCTTGCAAAACGAAGTCCCACTGCTTTGTTACCGTGTAAGCCTCCTGTCCTTCGGTAGTGGGGATACTTACAGCCTCCAGAAAAAAGAGAATGTAATTTCCCCAGGCTGCCTAGCATTTGTATTATTTTTTTATTTTTTATTTTTTGCCTTTCTGGGTCACACAGGCCTTGCGCAGGGGTTACTCTTGGCTCTGCACTCAGAAATTACTCCTGGTGATGCTTGGGGGACCATATGGAATGCCAGGGATCGAACTGGGGTTGACTGTGTGCAAAGTGAGCTCCCTCCCCACTGTACTATTTTTCTGGCCCCTGGCATTTGTATTTCATACATGAGAAAAGAAGCTGTGGTTGTTAGTGTTCATCTAGAACAGGGGGCAGGGCGGGGGGGCTAGAAGGCAGGAAGAAGATGGGCCTGGAATCAGGAGAGGAAGTTCCTTAAGTCTGTGGAGGCAGAGAGGCTGCTCCTGCTCTGTTATTCTTGATGTCGAATCCCGGCATTTCATCACGTATGCGTGGGAAGGTCCCAATGAGGGAGAGTGACCCCCCGCTGGTGATCGTCTGCTGTGTTGCTCCAGAGACCCCTTAAAGCTTCTGTCAGCCATAGTGAGTCCCTTCTATTTCCTGTGTGACTCCAGGAAGGCTGAGGACAGGGTGTCTCCAAGTAGAGCTGTACGGTTTGCATGCCCTAGACATGATCAGCCTGGGTCATGCTCGGGCTCCACGCCCTTCTGATGCCTAGGGACTTCTCTGTGGCTGTCTGGGCCCCGCGGCCCTTTCACTGTGACTGCATCTCAGTGGCACATAAGTGACAGAGGTTTTCTGATTTACTGCTTTCTGTACTATAGGTCTGTTGATTATAAAGATGGAACATTCACATTTGGTGTAACTCAGGAATTGCTGTTGACTCTTGGAAATTGTTTTTAACTTCTGGTCAAATCAGTGCTTTCTGAAAAGGTGACCCTTGGAAGTCATTTTTGTGTGTATGTGGCCTTGGCAGAACTACTGAGTATCCAGAGATATTTTAGATGATGTATCCTGAAGAGTCCTAGAGGTAAGAAGACTGATTGTGGCTTCAGACACACAAGGAATCAGTGTGCAAATTGCAGGTGTGTTACTGAGTGTATGACTTCTTTTTGATTTGAGTTTGATCATCAAAATCGATAGGGTTGTATCAGGTGATAAGTGCTGGATGGTTCCTGGATCTGTGATGATTTCCCATTCCTCATGGTTGTGCCCATGTGACTATAAACTAGTACTTAGGAAAGATAACTTCACATTTTCTTGAATTGTTTTGGTAACATGTGAAAAATGGCTGTAGGCTTCCAATACCTAGTAGGTCCTAGGAGCTAATCCTTCATTTCTGATGAACTACAAAGCTGTGTTGGGGCATCCTCGCTTAGCAGATAAATGTGCTTTTCGTTAAACTGTAACTCATGGTCTCTTCTTATCACTTACTTTTTACTTTAACTAGCCTGGGAACATTCATAGTCCCACTCAGGAGACAGGCTGCTTCCAGCTTCATCTCCTCTGCTCTGGGCTGTGCTGAGCTGTGTGATCACGTCTGATTTTGTCCCCCGTAGCATTCCTATGCTTCCATTTCACTTTCAGTTACTTTTATGGAATGACTTCATAGTTTTTTAAAGGAAAGTAAAGTAGTAAAGCATCAATTCTGAATACTCTGAATCTGGTAGTCTTTGTCAGGACAGGACTGTTGCGTGAGCAGAAGAGTGATTTCTGGCTGAGAAGGGGAGCATGGTTTCCTAAAGCTCTTACCTGCTAAGGGGCCATCAAAATGAGCATGTGGACAGAGGTATTCTGGTAAACTGAGACTTAGATCAAAATTGCTTTTTTTAAATTTCAGGTTTGATTAAGTGACTGTTTTCTGTGTTGGTTGAGTACGTGTTATGTCGTAGTTGTAATTGAATCTGATTCAGAGCTTTGCAGGCCCTCAGGTGTCAGACAGTAGTTTTGATTTGCCCTGCCAATTCAATTTTGAGATTAACTATTTGAAGCATTTGAGGTGTAAATAGAAGATTAAGAGCCAGTTCATAGACTGTTGTGAGGTTTGAATGGTAAAGCATAAATTGTAGGAAGGTTTACCCAAGTTTGCTACAATTTCAACCACCTATCTCTTGAGTGTTTACAAAGGTTGATTCCTTTTAAGTTCTGGTCCCCATGCTTTTGGGATTCTGCCTTGGAGTGTTGGTGACGATTTTAATTTTCATGTAGAGCATTGACTCAGATCTAAGATATTTGGGTCTCTTGATGGAGTACCCCCTCCCCCCATCTCTTCATTGAATCTTTCCTTGTGGCCTTATCTCTTCATTCTGACTCTTCTTTGCCCTTATAGGAGCAACTTGAACATTGTGTTTATAAAAGACATCCCCGGGGGCTGGACAGCGGGTGAGAGCAGGTGATCTGGGTGTCCCCTGTGGACCACGAGGAGTGATTTCCGAGTGCAGAGCCAGGGGAGGCCCCCAAACAAATAGTAAAAGATCCCCAGTCATTTTTCCCTTTTTATTTGTTCTCTTAGAAAAACATTTCAGATTCTTGTGCAGCCAGTTCTGCGCTGCCCCTATCCTTGGTGTACTTTCTCCCTCCTTGAGGGAGAGTATAGGCTTTTTAAGCACGCTGTGAACGATGCAGGGCTCTGAGCTCGCTTAAAGCCTAGTCCCAGGGTGGAGGCGAAAAGCCCCCTTTTCTGACTGAAGCCGATGGTGCTGGGAGCAAGAGTTTGCCGAGGAGGAAGGAGCAGGTGCCCATCTTTTGGAAGTTGGAGGGGCGAGGGCAGAGTGTATGAAACAGGCAGCCTCTTTTCTGCAGCCTCTTTTCTGGGTGCCTCGTGCTTCTGGGGTCTGTAGCCTGGATGCAGAGGTGACCCAGCACGTGTGCAGCCCCTGAAGGAAAGCCAGCCTCCAGGCTGGTTTGGAAGGAAGAATTAGCTGGAGGGGCTTCAGACAGCAAGATGCCCAGGCCGCCTGTCTCCCAGCCACCTGGATGGTGGGCTGCAGCATGCAGGGCACTTCCTGGGACGAACACTAGATGTCAGTGTTGTCCTTCCCCTGCTGACCAGGAGCTGGTGGACTTCTCTCAGTGTCCCGCACCGCCATTCCCCACGTGCTTCCCTGGCGCCTTGCGTTTCAGTGCCTATTAGAAGTGCTTTTCAGATAATTGTGTGTGCAGTTAGTGTCCAGGCAGGGCTTCTGACTCAGGAGTAAGACTTACCCTGCCTGAACTACACTCTCTAGCTGCTGCCATTCCATCTACTGCTTCCAGATACTTTGGGGGCGAGGGGGGGGGGGGGGGAGAATTGAATTGTTTTGGAATCAGGGATAGAGTGAACTCTGATTTTTGATACGTTGCTAATGTGACTAGGACTAGCTTTTGTTGGGTAAGATTGGAGTGAATTTTTTCATACTATGGGCAGGAATGTGGCTCATGTACTGACTGTATTTGCATACCAGTCCTGAGCTGTTATGTTGTCTCTGGCTTGTGAATTTCTATTTAAGCAGTGGTTTTGTTGTTGCTGCAGTGCAGAACAGACAGCCTCTTCGGGCAGTAAGAACTTTTTTTTTTTCTTTTTGGGTCAAACCTGGCGATGCTCAGGGATTACTCCTGGCTCTGCACTCAGGAATTACTCCTGGCGGTGCTCAGAGGACCATATGGGATGCTGGGAATCGAACCCGGGTCGGCCATGTGCAAGGCAAACGCCCTACCTGCTGTGCTGTCACTCCAGCCCCATTCTTTAATATTTTTTTATATCATCTCTGAGCATCTTGGTACTCAGGGATCACTTCTGGCGGTGCTCAGGGCACTGTGTATGTTTGTCTGTTTTTAAACCAATAAGCTACTCTTCAGGTAGTTCCTGGGTTGTGAATATGCTAACCAACAGCCACCTCAAAGTCGGCTCGTTTGGGGGACCTTGACTATGTCTCTGCTGCCTGCTCTGAGCCCAGCAGCCCCCCTGTGACTGTGCCCAGGCCCGTTCTTCCAGAGCTGGTGTGATGGGAGGGGATAGGGGTGTCTACTTACTGTCCCGTCCCTGCAGCTATGGAATCAAGGAATCCGGAAGCCAGTCTTGCAAGACCAAAGGTAGATGGGGAGCTATTTGCTCTGTGCAGGATTGTGTGTGTGTGTGTGTGTGTGTGTGTGTGTGTGTGGCGCGGGGGGGGGGGGGGGGAGCGGAGGAGAGGGTTGGCCAGGGCCTCCGTAATCTCTGCCTGGGGTCTGCAAGTTTGATTTCCTGCTCCTAGACCCTGTCGGAAGGAAAGAGAATCCCCTTCCATCTGATGATGAAGCAGTCGAAGCCGACAACGAGGAAGAATTTGAGCCTCAGGCTCCCAGCGGCCTTGAAAATTCTGCAGAGTGCAGCCTGGGAGCTAATGGGGGCTGGGCAGATGCCATGGCCAAAATTCTTAACAGAAAAACTCCTAAAAGCAAAGCCACCATTCTGGTCAAAAACAAGGAGCTGGAGAAGGAAAAAGAGAAGTTAAAGCAAGAGAGACTGGAGAGAAGAGCGCAGGTGAGCCTCCACGCTGGCCCAGTGGGCGGGGAGTCCAGCTCTTGTTTCGCCCTGCCCCACACATCCCGTACCCTCTGCTCAGGTGATGCCCCGCTTCTGTGGAGGGCTGGGTGGCCATGGGGAGGGCTGGAGAGCTGATCTCGCTCACTTGGGTATGCTGATGGTCTAATCATCTGAGTGACCAGAGAGAGATATTAGCCCTTGTATTTATTTATGTACTGTGTATGTAATATATTTTTATTGACACACTGAGATAGACCCTTACAAAGCTTTACAAGGCGGTTCATGATCAGGTTACAGTGATACAGTGTTCCAACACCCATCCCTCCACCAGTGTACATTTCCCAGCACCAGTGCCCCCAGGTTTCTCCCATCAATCCCCCCATCTCTATGACAGGCACTTCTCTCTCTCTCTCTCTCTCTCTCTCCCCCTCCCCCTCTCTCCCCCCTCCTCTCCTCTCTCCCTCTCTTTCTCCCTTTCTCTCTACCTCTCTCTCTTTACACCCCCCCCCCCCCCCCCCCCCGCGCGCTTTGCTTTGTGATTTGAAATGCAAATACTGAAAGGTTATCATGTATGTGTCTTTACCTACTTTAACACTCAGTTCTTGTCCAGGGTGATCATTTCCAGCTATTGTCATGCTGGTCCTTCTCTATATTACCCTCAGCCCCACACTCTTGTGGTTGATTCCAACCATTGACTCATCCTGCTAGTCCCGTTTTTTCCCTGGCCATGGTATTAGTGTTCTAGTGTATTTTTTTTTTTTATATACCACAGATGAATCGAGTAGTTCTTGATCGGTCTCTCTCCTTTGGACTCATTTCACTCAGCATGATACTCTCCATGTCCATCCATTTATAGGAAAATTTCATGACTTCATTTTTCCTAGCAGCTGAAATACTATGGTATTCCATTGTGTAGATGCGCCATAGTGTCTTTATTCATTCCTCTGTTCTCAGCATCAGCCCCCCCCCCTTTTTTTTTTTTTTTTTTTTTTTTTTTTTTTTTTTTGCTTTTTGGGTCACACCTGGTGATGCACGGGATGCACAGGGGTTACTCCTGGCTCTGCATTCAGGAATTACTCCTGGCAGTGCTAGGGGGACCATATGAGTTGCCAGGGCTCGAACCCAGGTTGGCCGCATGCAAGGCAAATGCCCTCCCCTCTATGCTGTCGCTCCAGCCCCAGCATCAGCCCTTTTAAAGTCAAGTTGTCAGTGCAGTGACTTCCTGGGTCAGACTTTTTTTTTTTTCCCAGTTGAGCTCAATATAACGATAGCTTGGTTGGATTCTGAACTTTTAGGATCATGATTGCTTTTTTGCTAACAACCTATTTCATAATGTAAACTGTAAAGATAATGTCGGGTTGATTATAGTTTTGAAAACCAGTGATTTAATTTTCTAGATAGTACAATAATAAGGTTTTTAATACTTTGTGCTTTCTTTCTTTCTTTTTTTTTTTTTTTTTTTGATACCCAGGGATGCACAGGGGTTGCTCCTGGCTCATGCACTCAGGAATTACTACTGGTGGTGCTCCGGGATGCTGGGAATCCAACCCGGGTCGGCCACGTGCAAGGCAAACACCCTACCTGCTGTGCTATCACTCCAGCCCCACTTGTGCTTTCTTAAATGAAGTATTTTTACATTTAAATATTTTGTTTTTATATATATATATATATAGAGAGAGAGAGAGAGAGAGAGAGAGTTAGTTTTTTGGTGGGACCACATAAACAGTGCTCAGCGCTTACTCCTGACTCTGCTCTACTCAGGGATCACTCTTGGCAGGACTCAGGGACCAACCTTATGCTGGGTATCAAACCCAGATTGGCTGCATGCAAGGCAAATACCCTGCCAGCCATATATACTCCCCCTGCATCCTCCGGACTCCTGACGCAATTTTTTTTAATGAAAAGTAACTTTCTACAGTCATACATTGTAAGAGTACTGATTTCCAGGAAGTACTTAATAGGTAGTAATAAAAGAGTAGATTTGAACTGACATAATTCCTTTCAAGTTCATCAGCCCCTTCTGTTTCCAAATGAATGTTTTCTTAATTCTGAATGCTGGTTGCTTGGAAAGTTTTATGAACACAGAACTCTTCAAGTCTGCCTTTTAGAAACAGAATGTACTCTATTGTTATGCACTTACCATACTTCATTTAAGATAAATTTTGTCTCTGAATCTTACTGATAGCTTTCAACTGAAAATTTGAACCTTTATTATCTGGCAAAAACTAGAACAGGCTTTCAAGATATTAGAAGCCTTCCTTGCCTCTCGTGCTAGTGTTTTGGTGAGAGGAAGAATAATATCTTGGCACCACAAAGAGCGAGCGTCTAACTACTGTTGACTGATGCTCAGAGTGCGGGAGAAGATTCTCGCATGTGATGCGGGACCACATGGTACACTTGGTGCCTGAGGCCAGGACACACCACTGCGCCTGCTGTGCATCTTTAGCACTGTCCTCCCGTTCATCAATTGTTCGAGCGGGCCCAGTAACGTCTCCATTGTCAGACTTATTGTTACTGTGTTTGGCATATCGAATACGTCACGGGTAGTTTGCCAGGCTCTGCCGTGCGGGCGAGATACTCTCAGTAGCTTGCTGGGCTCTCCGAGAGGGGCGGAGGAATTGAACCTGGCTTGGCCAGGCCGGACGGATGGCCACACGCAAGGCAAACACCCTACCGCTGTGCATCAGTGAGTGCAATCACTGTGCAAACACCCTATCGCTCCGCATCAGTGAGTCGGAAATCAGCCTATTGTTGCCATGTTTAAGCATGAAGAGCTTCCAGACTTGTTTGCTAATGTGGGTATAAAGATACATTTCCGGGGCCCGAGCAATAGTACAGTAGGGCTCTTGCCTTGCATGCAGCTGACTTGGTTTTGATCCCCAGCATCCCGTATGGTCCCTCGAGCACCGCCAAGAGTGATTACTGAGTGCAGAGTCAGGAGTAACTCCTAGACATTGCCAGGTGTGACCCTAAAACAAAGCAAAAACACATTGTGGAGTTAAATGCTTCCGGGCTTGGGACTGGGGTGCCTGCTGTCTCGTTTCCAGCTGTCCCACAATCACTCTTGCAGGAGATTTTATTTCAGAGTGGGCAGTTTAGTTTTCCTTTGCTCAGACAATTTCTGGTGGGTGATTGGAGAAGAGGAGAGGGAGGAGAGATTCTGGAGAGACTCAGCCCCTTGGAACTGGTGGATACTGGGGAGCTGCTGACCCCACTGCTGGCTGGCCTGAAGCAGGCACAGCTCTGAGCCTGGCAGAGTCCTGTGGGAGTCCCTCGCCTCCTCGCCCCCCTCTGCCTTAGATGGTGAGTCAGTGTGCAGTAGCTTGTGGATGACAGCGAGAAGAGCGGGAACTGAGGTGATTTTTGCAGACAGAAACTTGTTCACTGTATGAAGAGGCACTCTGCATACAAGACTGCTCTTTGAGAAGCTGATGGAAGTTTCTCGCGGGAGAAGCAGTACTCCTGTGGTTACCAGAGAGGCAGTGGGGTGTCTTCCCAGGCAGCCTCTTAGCTGGGAAGTGTGGGTGCTTGGGGTGCTCTCCTGGGCCCCCTCGCTCCCCCCGAGCACTCGGCGGTTGGCAGTGCTCCAGGCCCAGTCCCAAGCCTGACAGCTGCCCACTCGCTGCCTGTGCATGACTCTGAGTGCTGACCGCAGGCTCCCTGTGCTGGACCCCTCAGAGCCGGGTGGTTTTCACATTCCCCCTGACATGCTTAAGCCCGGATGATTTATTACCTTTGTCCTTTCACAGAGTATCATATCAAAGTCTACTGCACTTTCAAAAAGGCCTAATACTCTTTCACATCTTACTGTTTATAACACAGCTTGACAAGAAGCGGGAATGGGAAATGATGTGCAGAGTCAAGCCAGATGTCGTCAAAGACAAAGAAACCGAGAGAAATCTTCAGAGGATCGCAACGAGGTGAGACAGCGAGCCAGTGCTTTGGGAGGAGCCCTGCGAGCTGATGGGCCCCTCTCCTGAAGAGACTGGGTCCACACGCAGGCCTTCTCTCAGCCAGGTGGTTGGTATCCGCTCCGGTCTATCTCGTGCTGAATCCAACCCAGGATCCTGCTGGTCTCACATGAATATAATGTATGAAGAAAGGGGGCGTTTGGCTGTGCCCTGTCTGCAGGGCTCTTGTTTCTGACCATCCTGAGAACAGCCCCAGCAGACTTTCCGCAGCATTTCTTTTATGCTGACTTTCTCATTAGTGGCCTGCATGGTTCTTTCTCCTCCGGTGCATTAGTTTCCTGGTCTAGTACCTCGTCTTGGGAAGCAGTTTATGCTGTCCATAGCCTTTGCTCTTCCTCATTGCTGTCCTGGCCCCACATGTGTGCGGGATGACTTGGGTGACCAAAGCTGAGCAGGATCTGCAGGTTGCTGGGTGCTCCTTGCCTTGCCCACTACTCTGTCAGAATGACAGTCTCTTTCAAAGCAGACGCCCCTGGAACCCGAGGGATACATGGGCACACGGGGTGTTAGGCGCTTGCTTTGCACGTGGCTGATCCCGTTTCAATCTCTGGCACTACATAGAGTTCCCCAGGCCCTGCCAGAATCTCTTGAGTAAGTCCCGAGTGAGCACTGCAGGATATGGGCCCTGCTCCCTCCAAAAAAAAAAAAAGCCCCCAAAAGTGATTATATGCAGAGTAGGAGCCCTTTTTCCCCAAGTTCTTTTTGTGATCCAGTGTCTGAGAGCAGTCGGCTGCTGGGTGGTTTGGGCTGGCACCAGTCCTGCCTTTACGCTGCGTGCCCAGATCTTCTGCTTGGTGCCTCTGCCTCTGTCCCTGTAAAGAGAGGAGCACAATTCACCTTTCCGAGGGCAGACCTGGCACCTGGGGGTGAGCACCATGGGACACCTCCCTTGCCACCCCTTGGCTTGGGCTCTGTCTGAGCTGGCCTGCTCTGGCAGACGAGACTCTGAGTTAGGGACAGCGGGCTTCACTGTTGACAGCAGCAGCTATGACTGAGCGTCCTGTGAGGCAGGAAGGTGCGTAGGGCCTGAGGCAGGGATATGTCCCAGTGCGTGCTGTAGCGGGGAGGTTAGGAGAATGACAGTGTAACTGGACGGTGAGTGACAGTCTCGCATCTATGCTCTCCAGGGGAAAGGGAAGGGAAGCTGCACAGGTAGTTGAAAATGCTGTTGCAGCCCCAAGAACATATACAGAGAGGCGTCATGGATTTCAGTGCTATGTTTTATTTTACCTGATCTTTCCATATGATCAGTAATTAAGCATGCAATCAGTGTGAATACCGTCATTAACACCTTCTTTAGAATGCCCTTTTTCTTACTTGGTCAGAATCTGATGTACATTTAGAACTCGGTGCACTTTGCAGTGTGGATGAGCTGTGTCCATCCCCACATGGGGCCACTGGGCCACGGGACGCTGGGGGTCTTCATCCTCAGCCTCACTGGAGTGAACCTAGTCTAGGACTTCTTAGGTAGGATTTTAAATTAGTTCTGTATCCTAAGAGTCACAGAGAAGACAACCCAATGCTTTTAAAACTACTTGAGGTTTTTTTTTCGCATTTACAAATGAAATTTTAATCCAGAAAAATCTTTCATTGGGGACCGGGGGAGTCAGGCTTATTTCTTTATAGTGCCTGCAGTCATTAATTATGTTTTGAGGCATAGATGTTAGTTTAAAAAGGAATTCTTAGTTCTGATGCACAGAGGATAATTCAGAAAGATCACAGCCGAAAAGAACAATCATCTCAGTTCAGTTCTGACTAGAAGTATCTGTTCATCGTTGAAGTTGATGGTGCTGACCGTGAACGCAGCTCTTGGTCCAGCCTGCGCCTCGCATACTCCCTTCTCCAGGCACTCAAGAGTGTTGTGCTGGCCCCTGCTTGCGCCTGCTCTGCTTGACGTTGTGTTGGCTGTTTCACTGCAATGTCTGGTGGCTTTTGTAGGGGCGTGGTGCAGTTATTTAACGCTGTTCAGAAGCATCAAAAGAACGTTGATGAGAAGGTTAAAGAAGCGGGAGGCTCCATTAGGAAACGTGCTAAGCTGATCTCAACTGTTTCCAAGAAAGACTTCATCAGTGTTCTGCGAGGCATGGATGGAAGTTCGCAAGAGAAAAGTGGGAAGAACCCGAGAGACAAGCAGGTAAGGATCTGGGACCGACCTCCACGCAGTCCACTCTGCACCCTTCATTCTTTGATGAGTGTTCAGAGGGAAGTTCAGGGTAGATACTAAAATATATATATATATATATATATATGTATATATATATGGGGCTGGAGCGATAGCACAGCAGGTGGAGCGTTTGCCTTGCATGCACCCAACATGGCCGACCCGAGTTTGATTCCTCCACCCCTCTTGGAGAGCCCGGCAAGCTACTGAGAGTGTCTCGCCTGCACGGCAAAGCCTGGCAAGCTCCCCGTGACGTATTCGATATGCCAAACACAGTAACAAGTCTCACAATGTTACTGGGCCCACTTGAGCAAATCAATGAACAACGGGAGGACCGTGACCGTGACCGGTATATGTGTGTGTGTGTGTGTGTATATATATATATATATATATATATATATACATACACACATGAATATATATGTATGTATGTATGTATATATATGGACATAAAGATTTTCTACATAGCCCCTACCTCCTGTCAAAGCTGGATTCTTTATAGTGTCCTAATGCCTCATTAGCGTTGGGTGTTTTGTTTTGTTTTAATATTGCTTAAAATTAAGGTGTACGTGCATGTATGCATGTGTGTGCATGTGTGTGTGCGTGTGCGTGTGCATGTGCATGTGTGTGTGTGTCCCAAACAGGACTCAAGGTCTCGGGCCCCGCTGGTGCTTCTCATCCTGGAGGTGCTGGAGTCTCCGGGGACTGTGGGAATCAGACGGTCAGGTGCTTGCCTTGCACTATCCAGCCTGCTGTACTTTCTCCTGGCCCCAGACACCCTCTTCTAGCTCTTCCAAACAGAGAGACTGCTGTGTGCCCTGGAGTTCCAGATTTTGCTACATCTGCTTTCGAAGAAATCTTCATAATAGTTTATTTTCATTTTAGGATCTTCAGTTCTGACACGTAGTTTCCTGTAAAGCAAAGAAGAGAAAAGCATTGTTTTTGCTCTTAACCTGGGGAGGTATGTGGGGGGTGTTGGGGTCACTCCCAGCAGTGCTCAGGGATGAGCCCAGACCTTCTGCTTGCACCAGGCACCCCTGCCCGCCACCCAGCTCTCCTACCTGACAGGTGTTTGTTAAATGTATCTGTTTTGCTTTCCTCTCAGAGAGTTGCCCAGAGTTATTCAGATTCCTCTCTTTGCCCCTAGGTGTGATTTACAAGTTGGGTTTGGGGTGTTATCTGTCCACCGCACATTCATGTTTCCACTCCCACACTTATGTTTCTTTTTGTGCTTTTATAAGCATGACTTTCACGAGAATGCCTTCAAAACCCAGATGATCTTCAAGCGTTTTGGTGCTTACAGTGATTTTTCTATTATATATTTCAAAAGTGCATTTAATCATTAGCTGTTAATTAAGATACTTTTGTTCTTCTGATCCTGCTGAATTGGAGAATATTGCTGCCCTTGTAAAAATTACATCTGCAAATGTTATTTCTGGGGACAGTATCATTTTTAGGAAAAAAGAATGTGAAAGAAGAGTATTGTCCAAGATAGCCTGTGGATACACAAAATTACGTTTGAGTTGGTTGTTACTGTACTCTGGCTTCTGGAACTCAGTCTGAGTGCTGTCAGGGACACAAAGGGGCACTGGATGTGCTTTAGAAGAGAAGATGGGTAGGCAGGAAAGGCAGAATGTTCCAGACACTTCTCACTCATATTTTTCTCCTGTGAAAAATGAGTTCTATTGTCAGATATAATTCCTTTTTAATAAGGACATTGTCCATCTTATATTAAAGCTAGTCATTTGTACTGGCTGTTTTTGTGCATTATTGGTAGTACACTTGTAATGCACAGAAACTCCTTATACCCTTGGTATTCACAAATTTAACAGCTTTTTTTTTTTTCTTTTAAGAATTCTCATACCGGAAAGCTTGTGTACAGACGTGAGTCACTTGGTGACTCACTGCCCAATGTCTACTTCCTACTGATGCTCTTTCTTATTCACTATCATATTGGGTCACAATAAATCTTTTAAAATTAATATAAGGAGCTTAGTTTAATATTAACATTTTTTATTCATGTATTGGTGAGACAAGGCAGCAGAAGGTGATGATACTTAGCCAAAAAATAGAAGTTTGGTTCTGTGGAACAACTCAGTCTTGCCACATATTTCATGTGGAAAAAAGAAGAGCAAACATTTGCAAAAATGTTTTAGTAGGGTTTCCAGATAGTGCAGATACTGCTTGTGAAGTTCAAAAGTGTTCAGCTTGGAGAAATAGTGACAGTCATCAACAGTTCGGCTCTGATTCTGAGCAGTCAGGGCACAGGTGCCTGTCACGGCTTCATGAGGGTCCCAGGTTCTGTCCCTGGCACTGCCAGGAGTGACCCTTGAGCACAGAGCAGGGAGTAGCCCTGAGTCCCACTGAGTGTGGCCCTCAGAACCATTTTTCACTGTGTCCTATGAATTTGGATGGTAACTGGGGAGGTATTTTTCTGTTGGATTATTTCACTCTAGGCTGAAGATGCTCTTTGAGACATTCATAAACCAGGCATCAGCCTGATGCAATTCCCTGTCCTGGGCGAGCTGTGATCTAGTTGGTCTTTGAGGAAAGGGGGACTGTGTCATGACCAGCCTGTCGGGACGGTGGCCTCTCGCCTCTCTGGGGCTGGGCAGGGGAGTGGGTAGGCGAGGGGGCCCCTGATTCCAGGGGCTCCAGGCATTGACTTGACCTGAGATAGGTGAGGCAGGGCACTGCCATGATTCCGAGGGATTTGGAGAAATAAGAAATTGCAGGTTACTGAAGGTGACAGGGGACACAGAAGCAGGGACTGGCATTGTGACCAGATGGCAGTGGGGAAATGTTGGAGATGTGGCTCCTGGGCTGCCTGGGGAGTCCAAGCTGTGATAAAGGAGGCAGCCGGCGTTGAAGACAGGGTGAAGCAGTGGAGCAAGGAGAAAGGGTCTTGGCAGGCACAAAAGCGTCAGCCCCAGAGGAGGAGGCGCTGGGGATAAACACTCTGGGAGCCCATCGGGGGAGGGAGAGGTACCTCTGAGAACCTTTGCCTACTCGAGGGTCACTTCAAGGTTGTAGGTGTGTGCGTTGTCTGGCAACAATTCTCTAATCCAGACCTTAGAATCTTTCCCTTGGGCCCAAATGAAGGAAGCACAACCTGCAGGCGTGTGACAGGCCTGTGTGGCCCAGGCTACCCCAGCCATGCCCCTGAGCAGAGAAACTGATGGGCGCAGTGTCCGCAGACTGCCTGGGCTGACCAAGGGCCAGGAGAGCACCTGAACCCGGGATTCGGGGCCTGCAGGAATCCTGCCTTGTCTGTCCCCAGAGAGAGGCATGCCTCCTGGAAAAGGGGTGAATGGGACTTTGTAGAATGCTAGAGGTTTCCCAGTTGTTGGTCTCCCACTGGCTCTTTGCTTGAAAAAGTTACTAAACTCTAGTCTGAGATTAGGGGTTGTAGGTTGTCCGTTTGCTTTGAGGTGGACAGAAGCAGGACCTTCAGCCCAAGTCTTCGGGAGAGTGCTGGCTCTGGGCTCTGTTTACACTCCTCAAGTACAGACTTGTTGCACACTTTTCATGACTTGGAGTTTCCAGTATATTGATCTCAGCATGGGTATTCTGAGAATGAAGCCACAACAACTTCTCAGTAAAGGGACAGGCGATCTGGTCCCTGGTGGAAAGTAATATCTGTGATATTTGCAGAGTAACAGATTTCAGTAAAAATTCCTAAGGGAGAGAGAGAGAGAGAGAGAGAGAGAGAGAGAGAGAGAGAGAGAGAGAGAGAGAGAGAGAGAGAGAGAGTGTGTGTGTGTGTGTGTGTGTGTGTGTGTGTGTGTGTGTTCTGGTCTTGTGAAATGAGCATTTTCAACAAGGGACCATTTTTCCTGAGGGACAGTGGCGGCTCTGCGTTGCCCAGTGGCTGGCAGTGGGACGCTCTGAAGCAGCACCCAGCTTTCTTGGTGGCTCAGGAGCAGCCTCAGATCCCAGTGGATGTGTCCCTGCAGAACTGCACTGTCCTTCCGGTCTCTGGCCCCCTCAGTTCTTGCTCCTTGGGGCAGGCGGGGACGAGGTGGGGCTTCTCCCCGGACTGTGTGCTTCCGCAGCAGTGCTCTGGACTGCTTTAACATGCAGAGTTGGGGGTCGGGGAGGCAGGCAGGGGGGTGGAGGTTGTCCTTAAATCGCCCTGGAGCCCAGGGCAAAGGCATTCTGCTCTCACAGAAAGTCTGCTCTGCTGGGAATGCGTGGAATTCGAACTTAGTAAATAATTCTGCTTAATGTTTGTTTACTGAACATGCCTAAATAGATTAGAGTTTAGACAGATGGGAGACTCCGAGCTGGGCTGCAGAGGCGGTTGGGCAGCGTGGAGCCAGGTCCCCCTGGGTTTTGCCTCTTTCCCAATAGACTGCTGAGGGTTTCTGAGCCGCCAGGCTGGACGTCAGGGTGCCGGGTTGTGTGGTTGGGGGCAGGGGATGGGGGTTCCGGGAGGACTGTGGGGCTGCTGTCCAGTGTTTGTGTAGTGAAGAGCAGCCATGGTCCCGTGTGAGGGGACGTTCTCCGTCTTTGCAATCACCGGGGTCTCGGTTTCTCTGGGGTCCCCATAAAGACGCTGAGTGTGGAGTTTCATTTTCTGCTGTCCTGCAAGAAGAAAGCTTGTACTACAGGTTTGCACTGATGTGCATTTTTATTATTTGTGTGTGTGTGTTGGGGGAAGGAGTGAACACACCCAGTGGTGCTCAGGGTTCCACTCCTGGCATGCTCCGGGGAGTGACCTATATGTGGTACTGGGGCCTGGAACCAGAGTCCTCTCATGCAGAGCAAGTGCTTCTCTGGCCCAGAGACTACCTTCCTGTTTCTTGCTCACAACCATCCTTTTGGAGTTGTGAGCAGCTGTGGGGATTGGGATGCCTAACACGCATTCTGCGAGGTCCACTGACCACAGCACCTGGGTGGGACCCTTCATACTCCTTGCAGAGATGCTGGGAGAAGCAGCTGAATTCCCAGTGTTTGCGAAGTGCTTCAAG